CCACGGACGATAAAAAATTGCAAAAAAACAGTGAATTCGCTAGAAATTTGATTGAATTTCTAGTAGTTTTTGACTGATTCTGTTGAAAATTTCCACAGGTTATCTGCGGGTTTTTGTCAAAGAAAAATATTCGATGAAAAATATTTTATAGGAAAAATCAAAAGAATTCGATTTTTCTATATGAGTTATTCTACTGAGATTTCTAGCGGGCGCCTGCCTCTAACTTCATGGAGAAAGCCTCTGGAGATTTAGGGAGTTGGAGATTAGAATGAAGTTTTTTTATTCCACGGACGATAAAAAATTGCAAAAAAACAGTGAATTCGCTAGAAATTTGATTGAATTTCTAGTAGTTTTTGACTGATTCTGTTGAAAATTTCCACAGGTTATCTGCGGGTTTTTGTCAAAGAAAAATATTCGATGAAAAATATTTTATAGGAAAAATCAAAAGAATTCGATTTTTCTATATGAGTTATTCTACTGAGATTTCTAGCGGGCGCCTGCCTCTAACTTCATGGAGAAAGCCTCTGGAGATTTAGGGAGTTGGAGATTAGAATGAAGTTTTTTTATTCCACGGACGATAAAAAATTGCAAAAAAACAGTGAATTCGCTAGAAATTTGATTGAATTTCTAGTAGTTTTTGACTGATTCTGTTGAAAATTTCCACAGGTTATCTGCGGGTTTTTGTCAAAGAAAAATATTCGATGAAAAATATTTTATAGGAAAAATCAAAAGAATTCGATTTTTCTATATGAGTTATTCTACTGAGATTTCTAGCGGGCGCCTGCCTCTAACTTCATGGAGAAAGCCTCTGGAGATTTAGGGAGTTGGAGATTAGAATGAAGTTTTTTTATTCCACGGACGATAAAAAATTGCAAAAAAACAGTGAATTCGCTAGAAATTTGATTGAATTTCTAGTAGTTTTTGACTGATTCTGTTGAAAATTTCCACAGGTTATCTGCGGGTTTTTGTCAAAGAAAAATATTCGATGAAAAATATTTTATAGGAAAAATCAAAAGAATTCGATTTTTCTATATGAGTTATTCTACTGAGATTTCTAGCGGGCGCCTGCCTCTAACTTCATGGAGAAAGCCTCTGGAGATTTAGGGAGTTGGAGATTAGAATGAAGTTTTTTTATTCCACGGACGATAAAAAATTGCAAAAAAACAGTGAATTCGCTAGAAATTTGATTGAATTTCTAGTAGTTTTTGACTGATTCTGTTGAAAATTTCCACAGGTTATCTGCGGGTTTTTGTCAAAGAAAAATATTCGATGAAAAATATTTTATAGGAAAAATCAAAAGAATTCGATTTTTCTATATGAGTTATTCTACTGAGATTTCTAGCGGGCGCCTGCCTCTAACTTCATGGAGAAAGCCTCTGGAGATTTAGGGAGTTGGAGATTAGAATGAAGTTTTTTTATTCCACGGACGATAAAAAATTGCAAAAAAACAGTGAATTCGCTAGAAATTTGATTGAATTTCTAGTAGTTTTTGACTGATTCTGTTGAAAATTTCCACAGGTTATCTGCGGGTTTTTGTCAAAGAAAAATATTCGATGAAAAATATTTTATAGGAAAAATCAAAAGAATTCGATTTTTCTATATGAGTTATTCTACTGAGATTTCTAGCGGGCGCCTGCCTCTAACTTCATGGAGAAAGCCTCTGGAGATTTAGGGAGTTGGAGATTAGAATGAAGTTTTTTTATTCCACGGACGATAAAAAATTGCAAAAAAACAGTGAATTCGCTAGAAATTTGATTGAATTTCTAGTAGTTTTTGACTGATTCTGTTGAAAATTTCCACAGGTTATCTGCGGGTTTTTGTCAAAGAAAAATATTCGATGAAAAATATTTTATAGGAAAAATCAAAAGAATTCGATTTTTCTATATGAGTTATTCTACTGAGATTTCTAGCGGGCGCCTGCCTCTAACTTCATGGAGAAAGCCTCTGGAGATTTAGGGAGTTGGAGATTAGAATGAAGTTTTTTTATTCCACGGACGATAAAAAATTGCAAAAAAACAGTGAATTCGCTAGAAATTTGATTGAATTTCTAGTAGTTTTTGACTGATTCTGTTGAAAATTTCCACAGGTTATCTGCGGGTTTTTGTCAAAGAAAAATATTCGATGAAAAATATTTTATAGGAAAAATCAAAAGAATTCGATTTTTCTATATGAGTTATTCTACTGAGATTTCTAGCGGGCGCCTGCCTCTAACTTCATGGAGAAAGCCTCTGGAGATTTAGGGAGTTGGAGATTAGAATGAAGTTTTTTTATTCCACGGACGATAAAAAATTGCAAAAAAACAGTGAATTCGCTAGAAATTTGATTGAATTTCTAGTAGTTTTTGACTGATTCTGTTGAAAATTTCCACAGGTTATCTGCGGGTTTTTGTCAAAGAAAAATATTCGATGAAAAATATTTTATAGGAAAAATCAAAAGAATTCGATTTTTCTATATGAGTTATTCTACTGAGATTTCTAGCGGGCGCCTGCCTCTAACTTCATGGAGAAAGCCTCTGGAGATTTAGGGAGTTGGAGATTAGAATGAAGTTTTTTTATTCCACGGACGATAAAAAATTGCAAAAAAACAGTGAATTCGCTAGAAATTTGATTGAATTTCTAGTAGTTTTTGACTGATTCTGTTGAAAATTTCCACAGGTTATCTGCGGGTTTTTGTCAAAGAAAAATATTCGATGAAAAATATTTTATAGGAAAAATCAAAAGAATTCGATTTTTCTATATGAGTTATTCTACTGAGATTTCTAGCGGGCGCCTGCCTCTAACTTCATGGAGAAAGCCTCTGGAGATTTAGGGAGTTGGAGATTAGAATGAAGTTTTTTTATTCCACGGACGATAAAAAATTGCAAAAAAACAGTGAATTCGCTAGAAATTTGATTGAATTTCTAGTAGTTTTTGACTGATTCTGTTGAAAATTTCCACAGGTTATCTGCGGGTTTTTGTCAAAGAAAAATATTCGATGAAAAATATTTTATAGGAAAAATCAAAAGAATTCGATTTTTCTATATGAGTTATTCTACTGAGATTTCTAGCGGGCGCCTGCCTCTAACTTCATGGAGAAAGCCTCTGGAGATTTAGGGAGTTGGAGATTAGAATGAAGTTTTTTTATTCCACGGACGATAAAAAATTGCAAAAAAACAGTGAATTCGCTAGAAATTTGATTGAATTTCTAGTAGTTTTTGACTGATTCTGTTGAAAATTTCCACAGGTTATCTGCGGGTTTTTGTCAAAGAAAAATATTCGATGAAAAATATTTTATAGGAAAAATCAAAAGAATTCGATTTTTCTATATGAGTTATTCTACTGAGATTTCTAGCGGGCGCCTGCCTCTAACTTCATGGAGAAAGCCTCTGGAGATTTAGGGAGTTGGAGATTAGAATGAAGTTTTTTTATTCCACGGACGATAAAAAATTGCAAAAAAACAGTGAATTCGCTAGAAATTTGATTGAATTTCTAGTAGTTTTTGACTGATTCTGTTGAAAATTTCCACAGGTTATTTGCGGATTTTTTTTCAAAGAAAAATATTCGCTGGAAAATATTTTATAGGAAAAATCAAAAGAATTCGATTTTTCTATATGAGTTATTCTACTGAGATTTCTAGCGGGCGCCTGCCTCTAACTTCATGGAGAGAGCCTCTGGAGATTTAGGGAGTTGGAGATTAGAATGAAGTTTTTTTATTCCACGGATGATAAAAAATTGCAAAAAAACAGTGAATTCGCTAGAAATTTGATTGAATTTCTAGTAGTTTTTGACTGATTCTGTTGAAAATTTCCACAGGTTATCTGCGGGTTTTTGTCAAAGAAAAATATTCGATGAAAAATATTTTATAGGAAAAATCAAAAGAATTCGATTTTTCTATATGAGTTATTCTACTGAGATTTCTAGCGGGCGCCTGCCTCTAACTTCATGGAGAAAGCCTCTGGAGATTTAGGGAGTTGGAGATTAGAATGAAGTTTTTTTATTCCACGGACGATAAAAAATTGCAAAAAAACAGTAAATTCGCTAGAAATTTGATTGAATTTCTATTAGTTTTTGACTGATTGTGTTGAAAATTTCCACAGGTTATCTGCGGGTTTTTTTCAGCGAAAAATATTCGATGGAAAATATTTAATAGGAAAAATCAAAAGCATTAGATTTTTCTATATGAGTTATTCTACTGATATTTCTAGCGGGCGCCTGCCTCTAGTTTTATGCAGAGGGCCTCTGGAGAGTTGGAGGATTGGAGATGAAAAAGAAAAAAATACATAGAAAAACCTAGTGAATTCGTTAGAAATTCAATTAAATTTCTATTGAGCCCCCTATTATTCTTCGGCCGATTCGATTCAAAAATTTCGCAAATTATTGGGAAATGTAATCTTGGGGAATATAATCTCTACATTATTTAAAAAGATAAAAACCTATTGATATTTGCTACAGAACATTCTACTGCCAATTTTTATCAAAATAATTCTACTTCCATCAGACATGTTATGCAAGAGAATAGAAATAATGGAAGCTCAGGAAGCTGAATGGCTTTGAAAGTAACGAAGCATCATGTCCCCTATGAAAAGTCGATGGTTTCTCAGTTACAGCTCTTTCGCAGTATATTTTTGAAGAACAAGTAAAGCAAAAAATATATTTTCTATTTAAGATAAGATACAACATAGAACACAAGAAAAAATAAATTTAAAAAAAAGTATAATTTAAGATCTATGAAATATAGAGTGTAAAAACTACCTCAATCAAACTGCTATCTACATTTTACAAATGTCACACCAGATACATGCAAATATATGATTTATGTACTTCTGCTATACCCCTCTAATGGGCTCTTTGTAAATCGTGAAATAAACATATTTATTTAATTAATTTAATTCCACTTCCATCACCTTTAACGTAACTTTTCTCTCCAACAGTTTTCGTTGAAGAAAGCAGTTCCCACAGTGGAAAATTGAAAGAGAAAAGTATCCTAGATGCCAAATGATCCTGAAAATCTCTTTTTATTACCTTCAGCAGAGATAGCCCCATTGGTACCATTTTGTACCTCTCCGGGTGGAGTTCCTTCCTTCACGTCCTCAGGTTTCGCCTGAATGTTTGGCTTTTTGCCTGTCTGCCTCGCCTTGGCAGCCTCCTTCTTCTTCTGCTGTTGCTTCTTCTTGGCGTCGGACGGCATTCTGCTTCAACTGGAAATGACAAAAAAAAAATTACTCCGAATATTCCCGAGGATATAACCTGCCAAGGATTTCGTTTCAATTACGTAATTGGGCTTTTTTGGGGTGAATCAGTGGTTTTGATGGTCGAATGAGCCGCAATCGTCAATTTGGAATTTCCGGATGCAGTTGACTCGAAAATAGATGTGCAACCGCATGGGAACGTGCTGAGTTTTTAACGCACGCCGTCTGGTCGTCAGAAACGTGCGTTCGACCTCCAGCTGAGGTAATTCAGAGTTTTTGGATTTAACACGAGGATTTTGGGACAACACTTGATTTTAGAATGTTGGAGGACCATTGGGGAGGGGTTCGCGGGGCCTTGCGGAATTAATTAGGGATTAATTGCAATGGTTTACCCAATTGTGCGCCAAAACGAGGGATCTCAGCGACACGGCAGCTTCACGTGTATGGATGAAAGGGCCCAAGCCGTCAAATAACGATGGATCATGGTTTTCGATTAGGAGGCAGCACTGCCATCTAGGGTCCCTATGGCAGCCATTGTTTCTACTAGTTTTCCCCGCTGAGATTCAAATCCCACATCACACAATTGGGTGTTGCAGATTTTTTTTTATGGATAAAATGACGAAATACGAAAATTGGATAAAAATATTACATACGTATTTTTTTATTTTTAATGATGATGGGAAATGGAGAAGTTGATTGACGTCACAATGCTTCGAATTCTGATTGAATTTGGATACCTAGAATTTTTTGGCAAATGGGCTAGGCTTGTTTTTTGATTTTTGCAAAAAAATCAGGTTGAAATACACCTCCAGAATTTTCAAAACTAGTTTATGGCGACAAGATTCAAATCCTGAATGACATAATTAAGTTGTTTCAGAATTTTGTTTATTGGAGGAAATACAAAAGCGATTACGAAATACAAAAATTAGAAAAAAATATTAGACACATATTTTTTTCTTTTCAAAGATGATGGGAAATTGAGAAGTTACTAGGGGAGGTTGGGATAATATGGACACTTTTGACTTTTTTTAAAATGTTAATGACGGGCTGAAATGTTCATAAAATGTCATAATTTTTTTCATTGCAAAGAACAATTCTTTTCCTTTGTGATGAGCCTAAACTGAGCTCACTTGATAAATTTGTTTCTGAGTTATAAGTAATAAAAAAAAAGTCTAAAGTGTCCATTTTACCCCACTCTCCCCTATTAGAAGTTGAGAAGTTATTATTTAATTGAGGGTATGTCTGCATTACAACGTCACAATGCAATTTTCAATGCATATCCGATCGAATGCCAATAGAATTCTGGTTGACTATCGATACGCAGAATTTATTAACAAATGGGATTTTCTCCTGAATTTTCCAACTTAAAAATATGTAAAAAATGGACTCGAAACTCACCTCCATCAACTTATATATAATTGAGTTGCTGCATAAATTTTTGTATTAGATGAAGTGATAAACTTTGAAAATAGATAAACAATCTCGAACATAGAAAAAATCCCACCAAAATAAGTTAAATAGAAATAGGACATTAAGCGCCCGGCTTTTGCATTACATTATTCAAAACTTAATAAATTGACCGCATAAAAACTGATAAAATACGGACCAAGCGACTGTTCGGTGGACCGGTGGAAAGAGTCACGTTCGTATGGATTTGAAATTGCTATTAGTCTCGCTAGAGTGCGCGACTGCGCCCCTTTGTTTTTTCTCGCAAAAAATTGAAATCTCGTAGTTTTCGTTGTGTCAACCGTCTTTCTCTCCATTTTTCACTAAAATTCTCATCAGTCTTTCCGTGATTTCGGTTCAATTGTGATAAATATGGAGTATGAAGGTGCACAACACGTTATTCAGAAGGAGTTACGAGAGAAAGAGATCTCTGAAGAGACTCTTCAGCCTCCAAACACCGCGGAGGTCGTGAGGAAGGAGGAGAAACGGAAAATTCGGTGAGTTGGATTTCCATTTACTATTTAATTATTATTGCATGGGCTTGCTTCATATGGGGTTCGAGATAACCTAGAGAATTGGAAGAATTTCTGCATGAGATGTTTGAATTATTTAGTTCCACGAAGGCGAAGAGTAAATTCACCCTCAGAGGGAAAGCCCAAAAGACCGCTCGCCGTAAATCAACGGCGAAGATTGTCAAAGAAGAGGCGATTATGCCATTTGTCCCGAGAAGGGTTTTCAGAGTTCTGTCTCTTCTGCGTCATGACAGATTCTTGAAGGTTGTCATGAACTTCTTCAAACCCACCGAGAAAGTACCGGTTTGGAACTTTGATACCAAGTCGAAGAAGAAAAATAAGAGGGGATGAGGATTGTTAAATTGAATGGGGAAAATTGACGTAGTAAATTTCGCAATAAAAATCGCTTCATTCAACAAAATGTCCGATTGTTCTGCTTTTCTGTTGAGGGTCTTTTGAGATATCACAATGTGAAATTCATGGATTTTAGAAATTGATCGGAGATTGGGATTTTTTTTAAATTCCTTGAGGCGAAGTCGGGAAGTGAGTTGATGAAAAGGAGTTGATTTGTCATTTCTTGTTGAAAATGTGAAAACGTCAGTTTTTTATAGGAAATTTCTGAAGAATTTCTGAAGAAATTTTCCTCACCTTTTTTCTAAAATTATGAACTTTTTGGGTAGTTTTTACTTTTTTTTTATGGGATATTTTTGGGTGATCACGATGTGGCATTTATTGATTCATTGATTTGGTCAATTTTCGTAAAATGTACGGGTTTAGAGATTTGATACTAAATGCTGGAAGAAGAAAAATCACAGAGGATGAGGATTATTATTGAATTGAATGGGGAAAAATGACAGTAAATTTTGCAATAAAAAATTACTTCATTCAACAAAATTTCCGATTGTTTTGCTTTTCTGTTGAGAATTTTTCGAGATATCACAATGTGAAATTCATGAATTTTAGAAATTGATCGGAGATTGGAATTTTTTTAATTCCTTTGCGCGAAATCTGAAAGCGAGTCGATGAAAACTAGTTGATTTGCCGTTTCTTGTTGAAAATAGAATTATTTTTGTATTGAATGATTTCGGGAGAAAATGTGAAACCCCATTTTCTTTGTAGGAAATTTCTATGAAATAGTTCTTTTTATATTTTTCTTAAGATCGTTGACTTTTTGTGGTAGAAAAACTATTCAATGGAATTCATGAGAGATTATTTTTTTATGGGATATTTTTGAGGTATCGCGATGTGTCATTTATTCATCTGTTGATTTTGAGAATCAATTTTAGACTGGCATTTTCTACTTTTCCTCAATTTTTTTTTAATTCATAAAACGAGTTTATCAACAAGTTTATGAATTTACGTGTTGTTAAATATGATATTCCAGTATCTAGTGATTTTACGAGAGAATGCAAAAACACTTTCTGTTGGAAATTTCATTAAAGAAAAGATGTTTAGCAATATGCACAAATAATTTCTCAAAAGAAGAAAAATCATAAATTTTCGTAATAAAAAATATCTTTATTCAATGAAAGGCATAATTAGATTCTTCTCACATTGTTACAAAATTATAAAATGTCTTTCGAGGCATCACAGTGCAGTAATGATCTTGTCTGCTAAGAAGATACAACAGGATATTCAATTAAAACAAAAAAAAACGAAATGTACGAAATTTATTGCTTTCAACAAGTAAACATAAATTACAACAATTCTTCCGAATAAAAAACTATTCGACAAACGATGCAGAATTGGCATTCATAAAAAATTAATTCCATACTGTACTATTCAATCTCCTTTGAAGTTGTAAAACGTGAAAAATCAAATTCAATATATTTATAAAATGCATTCAGCTCAGAAACAATTCAGGAGAAAATCTTTCCGGGCATTCCCTATATTTTTTTATTTACCAAAACAACAAAATTCATCAGTCACATTTTATACCTTCACTGTTAATTAAAAATACAATTTCTTATTTACAAAATTAATGAACAATTTTGAAAATGAACAGTTGAAAAAGTTCAATCTTTCATTTTTTCACTGTCTGCTGCTACATCTGCCATTTTCTGTCTTGGAAAAGAGAATAGAAAATTAAATCTAATGAGAGTGACGAAGAAATTTACATCTAAAATTAAAGTAAAGAGTCAGAACAGCATTCAACAAGAAACATTCAGATCCCACGCGCCGAAAAAATCGTCTGGAGATATTTTGTAGGAAGTTCTCATAGGGTGATTCAGTAGGGAATCCCACATGTTTATCGTATATGATATAGGTATTTCTAAACACATTCTGTCTATGGAAATGATCCCATAAGAATTGAGAGTTCGTAAAATTTTCCGAATTCCATAAAAATAATAGAAATGAATGGAATGAATGGTCTTTTGAAATTGTAAAAAATTTGCGACGTTTCATCTTTTATTGTAATACATCCTCCAGGGACGATGTATGAAGAAATCCCAATATCATGACACGTACGAAAAAATTTAATAGAAAAATCTAACGAATTCTATTGGGTTTCTATTGAACTTTCTATTAGTTTTTGGCCGATTCTATTGAAGTATTCAAGAGAAAAAGCTACTACAATTAGATTTTTCTATACAATTTATTCTATTGAGATATTTTCTATAGAATTTCTAACGCTTAATTTTTCCATGTTTTTTGTTTGAGTTTCTTGATGAAAACAAAAGAAAAATAGAATTAAAAAAACTTAGAAATTTTGAGCCGAGAAAACTCTAGAGAAAATATCTCAATGGAACAATTTGTATAGAAAAATTCAATTCTATTGACCTTTTCTATAGACTATTTTCTATTGAATAGTTCAATGAAATTGGCCAAAAACTAATAGAAAGTTCAATAGAACTCCTACAGAATTGTCCAGTATATGCACTAGGTTTTTCTATGACATTTTTTCGTGTCTAAAACCTAGCACTTCCGTGAATAATCAGCATTGCAGGACGATTTTTTGATAGATATGCGATAGAAAAGAATCAATAAAACCAAGAAGAAAGAACTTGGAAAATTCATCCCCTAGAATTTTTACCAGAAAAATCCCCACCGATTAAGTAATATACAAAAATTGACATCTATTAACTTTTTTCTACCGAAAAATATCAATTGAAAAAAAAACAAATATAATTTTTCACAGACTTTGAAACCAATTCCTTAATTAAAAAATAAATATATTCGATTGATCGAAAATGGAATGTATTTTATGGATTCACAATCCATACTAAAGATACCGTCCTAATGGAAAAAAATTTCCACCGCCAATTTTTTATGACAATTCAGTAGCGAAGCGGTAAAACGGTTCAAGTCGATTTTCACTATTGGCCAGTTTTCAATGGCTATCTCGAAATCTAAGGGAGACAGCGAACTTTTCGTAATAACCTTTTTCGTAGCCCTCAATTCGCTCTGCAAAAAAGCTCATCACGGAAACTTCGCCATCTCCCGTAGATGCGGAGATATTACTCGAAAAATCAGCTCAAGTCTAAATTGAGTTAAATTGTTTCACTGCTGCGCCACTGAATCCTATTGAAATTCTGTTAAAATTGCCATTTTCTGCTGAAATTTCCTTTAAAAATTATGAAACGCCAGGTTTTTCAACGAAATTGTTTCACACGTGTACAATCTCATACTGAATTTAACCATTCCTGGCAATATGCACCGCTCTGACTCTCTTATCACCAGCGAAACTGACAAATCTCGTGAGCACAAGAGCCTGAAAAGTGCTCATAGCTTGCTCTCAACATCGTCGAGGACCATGGCAGGATTGGCAGTAGCCCATTTCTCCTTATCGGCCAGTCCATCGTTCTTCGGTCTGTGCTTAAGACTCTGTATCCCCGCGAAATGCTCCTCAATTTCCTTGAGTGTTCTGCCTTCAGTCTCCGGTAATGATAAGTAAAGTGCGATACCACCAGCCAGGTTCATACCAGCGTAGAATAGGAACGTCCCTGACAAACCCATTGCATTGACCATGTACAAGAATATCTTATTTATGACTGACATAAATATGTAACTTATCGCTGCTGCTATTCCAGTTGCTGAACTTCTTATCTACAAGTCATAAAGAACCGAACATTATTGATAATTATTATTATTTTTTGAAGGAATAATTGTCATGGGGGAAGGGAAAAAGAATGATCATATTAATCACATACGAAGAAATTTCGAGGAATAAGAAATGTTGAGAAATTCTTACAGCAAATGTCTCAACAAAAAGTTATATGCAAGATAAAATATTCCTGATTTTTTCTGTAGAATAGTTTTTGTTGGTCATTTTCTACTAAAAAAAATGCGCCATAAAGTTGCGGAATTCTGCAGTAGAATTCAGTAGCGAAGCGGTAAAACCGTTCAAGTCGATTTTGACTACTAGTCAGTTTTCAATAAATATCTCGGAATTCAAGGTAGACAGCAAAATTTTTGTTACTACATTTTTTGTGGAATGAATTGAGAGCTACGAAAAAGGTAATTACAAAAATTTCGCTGTCTCCCTTAGATTCCGAGATATTCCTCGAGAACTCAGCTAAGAGCCAAGTCGGCTTGAGTCCTTTTACCGTTTCGCCACTGAATTGGACAAAAAATAATACAATTTTCTACCGGATTCGCTAGGTTTTTCAATGACATTCTTTTGTATGTGATGTTTTCTCTTCACCTTACTGGTTCCATTCATACAATCAAATCAACTAGATAATCCTCATAATCTCACCTTCGCGGGAAAGACTTCGCCAGCAAGGATCCAAGCAAGCTGTCGGATTCCCATGTGCGAGATGAAGGCAGACCCAATGAGAAAGGCCGTTGGTATCCAACTGTAAGCCCCCCTCTCGATCTGCTTAAACTCCAGTAAATAAATATAAATAGCACTGCCGAAGAAGCACAGACCAGTTCCACTGATGGATACCCAGTTGAGCCTCCTCTTCCCTACGAAGTGGATGGAAGCAACACAAGTGGCGGTTCCAAGGAGCTCAGCAACCCCCAGGATCAGAGTTGCTGTGTATTTGTTCATCGGTACCTCAACCTTATCGAATATGGAAACCGCGAATGTCTGGAGGGTTGCTGAGCCACCAAAGGCTGCGAGGAAGAAGATGAGACTGACAAGCATGAGGGGAATTGTGAAGGTTCTCCTGAAGAATGGAGCCCAATAGCTCTCGTTTTGATGTTCCTCCTCGTTCGGAGGATGGTGAATGGTCCTCAAGACGAGCTGAAGCTCTTCCCGTACGTTGGACGGTGGCACCCAGCCTCGAAGCCATCTCAGGGATTTCTCAGCATCTTCCATTCTATTTTTACCTGTATTTGGGAGATAATTTAGTGGGGCCCTTCTTTAAATTGGTTTGAACAGGATTTTTGAGCTACGGCAAGATGTCTTGATTGATCAATTCAATGATCTAATGTCTAATTCAATTCAATGGCGGATTTCCTAAGAGCTTAAGGATGCTTTGGCCAATTCTATTGAAGAACTCCGCAAATCACTGCGTATTTTTTTATCGAAAATGTCCAATTGACACTTTAAAAAAGAATCAGTACCTTTTCTGTAGGAATTGCTTAATATGAATTTTCCACGTTTTTTCGACTTTATTGAAAAGCTTCTTGAGTGGTATCTCTTCACTTGTATCAAGAAACTAAAATCTCGAAAATTGACAAGAAGAAAACATCTCACACTTTGAAAAGAAACCTTTCGTCAAGGGATTTTGTACTCATCCGAAAGATGAAGGGCAATTTCTTCATAATAAGGAAGCGATATCTGGAAATAAGTCAAGTTGTTTTTGCATTGCAATAATTTGGATGGGAGACCTGACTTAGTTTGAGAAATCACTTTCTTGTCATACACCAATTATTCTCGTCCTTGGGACAACAATAAAATCTCTTGACGAAAATTTTTTCTTTTTCAGTGTACGATATTTTCTTCTTGTCAATTTTCGAGCCATGAATTTCTTCATACAAGTGGAAACGTTCTTACCAAAAAACTTATTTCTTCTCGGTGCACAGTAAATAGTTACCTGCTAACCAGTAAGGACTCTCGGGCACAATGGCCAGTGTAAGAAAACAGACAACAGGATAAATAAGATTGATGAGACAGGCTGTCCTCCAATCTGTTAAACTCCCTGTCAACAATTGCGTGAAAATACCGAGGATAACTGACATCGTTGAAGTAGCCGAGAGCATGCCACGCAGATGTGGCTGGGTCACCTCAGCCACATAAGTCAGAACAGGTGCCTCAGTAAGACCCCCAGTAAGGCCAGTCAATGAGAGGGCAATAAATAGCATTGGCGCGTTAGTTGAATAGTGTAGGATCACCCAGGATGCTACGAATGGGATGTTCGATATGAGCATTGTTTTTCTTCTCCCGAGGTATTGGGAGAGTGGTCCACTCACCACACAGCCCAGTGGTACGGCGAACAAATTTATACTGCCTGTTTCAAACAAAAATATTATGAACAACTCTATCACGCGAAGAATCATCGCTAGTGGACAATTATTGAAGCAATTATTGAAATTGGGATGACTGATCAGTTCTTTTTTGTGAAGTTCTTCTGATATTCTTCCTTAAGCCATCTAGCTTCTTTCAGGCTCGTCTCCGGTTCTTCGTTACACTTTTAGAAGAATTGACATCATTATCACGAAATTTATAAAAATTATTTCAACTCACTGATCCACGTGAGGTCTTCCATCGTAACTGGAATGTCAGGATCATTCTTCTGCAGCGCAGGAAGGAGAATCGTTGGAAAGCCTAGAGTTGATCCAAACGTCAACAGTAGAAGATTCTTCGCCATGACGGCACACACCTGTGGTGCTGCCTGCCTCCATTTAGAATATTCCTTCTTCTCCACATTTCCATTGTAATCTGGAGATGGTACCTTTTCCCTGCTGAGGATGACGAAAATATAAACAATGATTTCTCAATCCTTTGAATCAATAACTGTCTGATCAATGAATTCTGAGATTATTTTAAGGGCCGGGTGTACTATCTTTCGAACGTTATCTCGATGTTTTTTTTTCATCTTTAGTCATCTGAAATTGTCAATTGAGTCCTGCATCGTGTAGAAGTTTTGAAAAATTATGAGTGAACAAACAAAAAAAAGTAGAAGGAATTCTTAATTTTTTCAAAGAGCATTTTTAATTTATATTCAGAATAAGTTGAATAACAAGAAATTGAAAAATGTATCTGATTTACGGTGACGAATGGCGGCCTGTCACCCAATATCATGCAGGGGAAAGACTGATTTAGTAAATCTTTTCCCACACTGCACAGAGACATTTATTACGGAAAAGGCTTTTTGAAAAAAGTTGTAATATTTTGGAGAATTTTTCAATCACAGATGACTACATACCACTGTTTTGAAAATTGAGATACCTAGCTGTCACTTCCCATGAGGAGTTAGTGTTTTGTTATCCACCATGGAAAATTACAGTTAATAGATAATTTGCCACAGCGAATCACATATATCTAATTTTCACTCTTTTCAGCTCATTCTGAATCTCAATTAAAAACGCTCTTTGCAAAAGTTTAGAATTTTTCCTATTTTCTTTTTATCATTCTATCATAATCTTTGGGAATTTCTACATGATATACCATTCAATTGACAATTTCGCATCACGAAAGGTAAAAAAAATCCAGATAACATTCGAAAGATAGTACACATGGGCCTTAATTTGCAAATCCATCAATTCCTGGGATTACAATCTACAGATTGTAACAAAATGTTCGTCGTTTGTTGGTTCCTCTTTCTGTTTTGTCTAAAGGTGGATTAGAAATTATATCTATGGTTAACACGATTTCAAGATTTTTCCTCGAGATCTTTGGGTGGATTTAGCAACTTCATTCCTCTTCGCTGACTCTACCTTCACCTAGATTTGATTTACTAGCTAGTGGAGGAAATGTGAAGACCTTCAGTAACATGTAGACTGAGAATAGAGTATATTGCTTAGAGTTGTTAGTCGTTGAATTGGCCGGTTTGCTTTTGTCGCGGAATGGAGTCTATTTTACAGCATCCGGTAACAGAATTGTGATCATAAAAGGGGAATTGCGGGTTTGGTAACGCTATTTACTGGACGTTCAGTGACACACGTTCAATAACACTAGTATTTAATCACTTTCCCTTGGTTTCTTTCCTTCGAATCGGAAGTGAAGCAAAGAACGGGAGATCGGTATAAAAATCACGCAGATAATGAATATTGTTAAATTTAGGGCACAATTGCAGACTTTTTTTTTCAAGTTCTTGAGATAGGAAAATTCCGTTCTGAAAAAAGACGACCTGGAGAACTTTTCATTTGATGAATTATTTCTTTGGAATATTTCGAAAATCGATGGAGTGACACTGGTCGTCTTTTTTCGAGTCTAAAAAGTTGACTTCAGTCTCGTCAAATTCAATCATCCTCGTACCTCATGTATCTCATGAAATCTTTCTTACACGACGTCGGTAGGCAATTTTTCTATTCATGTTTAAATTCTTCTCCTTTATCGCTCTTACTTCTTTACCCACACATGACGGTTTTGCGAAATTTATCAATAATCCTTCTTTGTCGACGATGCAATTTCCGTTATTACTTCACGTCTTGGAAAGAATTCTCTTGAATGCACACTGTTCAAAGATATTGCGGGAATAATCCGCAGAGTATTTTACGACTCGTCTACTTTGTCACTTTATCTTTATGTTCTTAGAGAATTCTACAGAAAAATTCCGAGGCTTTTTCTTTAGTATACACGGAGAGAAATATTCAATAAAAATTATGTATCTTTTCTGTAATTCCGGAGTGAAAAGTGATTGTAGGAAATTTTACGGAACTGTCACGGAATTTTTTCAGAGCGTTCCGTAATTTTTATCTGAATCTCCTGGGAAAAATGACGATACCGTCACTTAAATTTTCTGAGTCGATTTCGTAATCGGTAAGCGAACTGTGAGTTCCGTAATTTTTATCTGAATCTCCTGGGAAAAATGACGATACCGTCACTTAAATTTTCTGAGTCGATTTCGTAATCGGTAAGCGAACTGTGAGTTCCGTAATTTTTATCTGAATCTCCTGGGAAAAATGACGATACCGTCACTTAAATTTTCTGAGTCGATTTCGTAATCGGTAAGCGAACTGTGAGTTCCGTAATTTTTATCTGAATCTCCTGGGAAAAATGACGATACCGTCACTTAAATTTTCTGAGTCGATTTCGTAATCGGTAAGCGAACTGTGAGTTCCGTAATTTTTATCTGAATCTCCTGGGAAAAATGACGATACCGTCACTTAAATTTTCTGAGTCGATTTCGTAATCGGTAAGCGAACTGTGAGTTCCGTAATTTTTACTGAACATTTCTCTCCGTGTAGAAAATATTCGATGGAGTAAGGAACTATAAAAATCGTGAGAAACAATACGGAAAAATATGTATATTTTTTTTCAATAATTTTCATACACTTGATTCAATTATTTTATGGAATCATGCCAAATCTATCTCATGAGCTCTTTATTCATCGAAGAAAAAGTGATTTCTAACCATTCGCATTAATTACCTCTGGTATATCATTGACACAAAATTTTTTTAATCCTTCAAATTACCCCTGATAAAACACCTCAACGCTCATCCGTTAATCAGCTCATTTTTCATTTCGTAATTTTAGTTTAAATATTCTTTCACCTCAATACGTGTCTGAGGATAATGAAGAAAATATTATACTCCGTACATCCAGAGATATTTCCGTGCATTTTGCAGATGTAAATGTGAAGATCGTCCCATGATCATGTGGGAATAACGCGAATTGAAGGTATGAGGAATAATATCGTGTGAGAATTGTGACGCAACTGATGCGTAAACCGGTCTCTCAAATTGCCGGAGCGAGACATGTGTTATATGTAACACCTGCTCACGAGTATCATATTTGTATTTTCTTTAATGATTCATCAGCTGTGTTTCGCTCCCTTCTGTGCACAAAATTTCAGGAGTCCTCCGATTTTTCCGATAAACTTAAAAATTCGATATAACTCAGTGATTTACGGTACATGGTCCCAAAAAAATTGAAATTCAACGGACAGTTGACTGGTAATTATCAAGCGACTGACATTAAGTTCGCAGTGGAGAAAAATCATGAAATTCCATATTTTTGAGTACCTAGCACAAAGACAAGAATTCCCCAAATGAATATTTAATATGAAATTACACGGAATTTTCAATTAGTTGGTAATTCGAAAATATATTTACCTAAATTTTCCTTCAAAATCATGAAACTTCAGAATTTTGAGCAGCAGAAACACCCAACAGGGCTACGAAATAACCCTGAATTTTCAATTAATTGGTAATTCAAGAATATATTTACCTGAATTTTCCTTATTATTAACTTTCATGCGATAATTCAACTGAAATTTACAATTTTTATTGATTTTTCCATAACATTTGGAATTCTCAATGACGAAAATCCTGGAAATTTCCGCGAAACTATAATTTGATAAAAATTTTCAACAGTGCACACTGTTCAATAATTTTCACTCCATTTTTCTCATGATTATCGTTTTTTTTCGCCGTATCCTATTCCCATCTTCCAAGTGAATTTTCCTTCACACACAATCTCGAAATCGCACAATTTCATTCTTCGATAATATGAATTCGATCTGCGAAGAATCGTCCATTCATTTCTCACGGACTCCAATGATGATAAATTCGATAAAATCTGTAAATATTGATACGTACGTCAACTGAAAAAACTGGTATCCATCTCGATATCATTCGATCTTTTCTGATTGAACAGGAATAATCACGAGCACTTCCCATTCCTCCCCCATTGTTCTTCGCTGATGTCGAACGAATTGAATATGAAAAATGCATGTGAAGTAAATGACATGATTGCATTAATGACAATGACGCTTAATTACATGACACAATAATTGTCACAATGATAGACGTAATTAAACATTGATTAATTCAGGGACAATTATTTACAAACATACGATTACAAATTGACATCATCATGATATCAACCATTATCGACGTCGAGGAATGGGTTCAAAGACACCTGATTCATTGAACTATCATCAACGCGCTTATGAGATTTGCCTCAGCGAACTGTAAACATCGAGATATCTGATGGAAGTCTAGAACGTCTCAGTGGATCTCTCTCGTGCCAACTGTTACGAACCAGACAAGTCGTCCTTCGCTGCGTGAGAGGACTCATCAGAATTCAATTGCGAATCCTACTTTTCCATTAGTATTACTGATTTTTACTGAGGACTTCTAGACAATCAGCAGAATAAGAGAGAGAGGCGATTAATTGACATATTTGTCAGTAATGAATTGTCATTTTTGTTAATAATGAAACACTCTGGTAATGATGAAAATCCGGCGAATTTGATAAAAAAATTTATTGACATTCTACTAATTTTTGGCCGATAGAAAAATTATTATAGAAACTATTTCATAAAATATTTTATAGAACAAATTATTTCTATTGAGACATGTTCTATAGGAACTTTACTGAGGACTTCTAGACAATCAACAGAATTAAGAGAGAGAGGCGATTAATTGACATATTTGTCAATAATGAATTGTCATTTTTGTTAATGATGATGAAACACTCTGGTAATGATGAAAATTTCTTAAAATATTTCGCAGAAAAAATTATTAGAATTTCATCGTTCTATACAACTTGTGCTATTGAGACATGTGCTATAAGAATTTTTCGACATGAATTTTCCAAGTTTTTCCGCTCTATTTTTTCTCTTTTCATTAAAAAAATGGATCGAAACAAATTTAGAAAATTTAAACCGATAAATTTCTATAGAAAATATCACAATATTACAACAGAATAAATTGTGTAGAAAAATTGAATTCTGTTAATTTTTTCTTTCAGAATATTTTCCATTGAACAGAAAAACTAATAGAAAATTCGTTGAGTTTCAAATTTAAATTTTTTCGAGCGTATTAAGAATTCATTGAGACATATCGCGTAAATAATTGAGGAATTTTTATGATCAAATGATTGATTTTTTACTCATATTTCTACGGCTTATTCTCGAGATATTATTCTTTGCTTATTCAAGTATGCAGCAAAATGATTTCAACAACATCTCAACAGGGAATCCTCCACAGAAAGAGAATCTTAATTCCAGGAAAAACCAGATTAATAAATTCACCTTTAGTTACAACCGCGGAATAAATGAAGGATTCAAGAATATAGAAATCATTGCAGAAATATTCAGTTATCATGAAACTTGTAATTAATTCAGCGAGGTGTAATTACATGAATAAATTTTCAGTTTAGATGCTTCAAACTGTCGTCACTGGCGTTGCATCATTAACTATTATTTTGATTTAAATACTGGGAGGAAGTGTTTTGAAACGGAAAATTGTCCGGTGGTTGTTGAAATTTTGAGTGATTCAATCGCAGGATGGCCTAAGTGACCGTCCAATGCCGAGTTGACTGAAGATTGCTGGAGAATAACGTGATATCCGGTTAATAAAATCTGTAATTATTCTTTTTATTTGCTAATGCGAGATAAAACCTGCTTTCTATTCTTTTCAGGGTGACATTGACATCGGTGTAACTTGTCATAATAAATCCATTGATAATCAAAGGAACTTGTTAATGCCTCACGCAGATGCTGAATATCATAAATCCGAAGAATCAAAAATCGAGAATTTATTCATTACTATTTTTCTGTTAATAATCCAAGGAAATTTCCGGTTATGAGAATTTCTCATGCAATTGCACGAGAAAAATTTTAAAAAACGTGAATAATTAGCCTGTCTCAATTTACATTTTTCAAAAGTTTATTTTTCTAAGTATTGTCTTCCCACAAATTCTCACAAATAAATAATGAAAATGGTTTGAACTTTCGGAAGCCTTATTTTTCCAATATGAAAGCTAATCCTAGTAAATTTCAAAATATTTACATTTTTCGCAATTTCAAATAAACAATTTTTAGGATGGCCAGTCAATTGTTTATAAATTATGTGCGAAACATGGCAATTTTTCAATTATACCAAGGATATTTCCAAAAGATTAAGCTTTATGATTTTTCCAGATTTTAAAAATGCTTTTTAAGGTTTCGAAATGGAAATGCAAATTTAGATTTTCTAAAATAATAAAATCATTAAACAATTCTGGGCTCAAATTAAAACTCTAATGCTCAGAATTTCAATGTGAAAAGAAGCATATCCAAAAAATTAAATATCCTCGACCCTCAATTTCCTAAAAACAAGAATTGTCAATTTCTCTACAACTTGCGGGGTAAAATAGGTTCTTGCCAAGTGTTCTGAACCGGTGATTTCCCTATCCTACCATTATCGTCTTCACACTATGATAATTAACGTTAATAATTGTCCCACAAGCCGGCACTTAAAAATAAAAATAACAAAGTTAAAATTGATGGGCTCGGGCTAGCGGAAAATTACGTTTACACAACAATATTATTACTGCACATTCACACGAAAAAGCCAGAAGGTACGACTGACAGATGAATCCCTCCCCCAATTTGTATTTCGAAAATGCATAATGAATATGAAACAGCGCACAATCACAGAATAGTATTGAATACCAATGCGAATGCCGACGTATTGACTCGATTTGGAATCCCCGATCATCGAGTTGAACGTAAACAATTGGCGTTTTTTCTGTAGTGTAGTCAGGTACAATTTGGTCCTCAGTTACCTAACATACGCGCGCTAAATGCCAACTGGCGACAGGTCACTTTCACTCGGACTCACTGATCCCGACTCCGGTTTATCCCATTTTCAAAATTGAAATTATCCATTAATTTTGATTACACAAATAAGCATTCATAGATAAAAATCTAGATTCTAAATTTTCCATTAATCATAAAGTAAACACCTACTGTCCACAAGATATTGTTTTGGTGTCTTTTATTATTTCAGGTAATACATGTCTGAAACCTGACGTTGATTGATCATCAATTTTATGTCTCGTACTTTTCCATTCCGTTTATTGCTCTAAATTTCGAAAAGTGAAGCTAACGCGAATTATTTTTCCTCAATTGCGCGCTGAATTTCGTTCGATAAAAGAAAATATGAGGAATAGACAGAATTTGTCATCAATGCGACAAATAGTTAACGTTTTCAAAGTCACATAATGCAACGCGTGGAAAAACTGTGGGCAAAAAGTTGAAAAATGATGAGTAAAACCTGCAGTAAAGAGAAATGTCGACTCATCAGAGATAAATATTGATGTCTCCAACGGTTTTTTACGTATGCAAATGTTCTTCAATATTTGTTCATTTTTGGATGAAATATACCTTATAACAACGTCAGTGGCTTCCGTCATTGTGTACTATGCGTCCTGATCACTGCTGATATTTTTTGGATTTGAGGAAATGGTCAATCCACTACCGATACATTTTCCACTGAACTAAATTTTTTAATGTTAATTTCACGGACTGAAGGATAAATTCGCGAAAAATTGTCGCAAATTTTGTCGGACTGAAATTGATATTTAAAAGTATCGCGTGTACCTTCCCCGTTGAACTGAACACACTTGCTGTTTACCATTGTCGTTAGCCAGTAGCAAGCCACGAGCATTTGTACTTTCAGTCACTCCCTCCTGCAGCCGTTAACTCCCTCCTACAAGTCGTCTTTATCTCGATTCACTAATCCTAAAAATTGTTTTTCTGGTCTTCTTTTGTGCAGAATTTTTCCTTATCTCTGGTGGGATGATCTCTCTGAATTTTTTGGAAGGCGAATTCAAACTGGGGATGTGATTTATTTGTGTATTGTTGATGGAGTTGAACAGATTAGAAAGTCTGGGAGAGGGGCAATATTATGAAAGGACTAACACGTGGAATTTATTTACACACGTGAGTTCCTGGGAGATCAGTAATTGTTCAATGTAAAGGGGCAATATTATGAAAGGACCAACACGTGGAATTTGTTTACATACGTGAGTTCCTGGGAGATCAATAATCGTTCTTGTGATTATGGGAATTTAGGGAAAAGTGCGTTTAGATTGTGGAAGTTTGGGGAATAATATCATTCGGGTGGGTTCAACAGACGAAATGATTTCTCGGTATTTTTGAACTATAAAAATAGCAGAATGGGTAGATTTTCTCATTCGTTCGTGAATTCAGTGATTGCTGTTATGATTTTGTCTCAAATACCAGTGGTTTTCGGAGAACTGAGAATTTAGTCGAAGCTCTCCGCGTTTTTTCATTAAAAATGTCCAATAGAAACTATTTTATCGAACAAAATCAGAAGCATTTCATCTTTCTATATAACTTTACTTATTGAGACATTTTCTAAAGAAATTCTTCGACATGAATTTTAAATGTTTTCCCATGTCTTTAAAAAATCAAAGGAAAAAATTCACAAAATGTGAGCCGAGGAATTTCTAGAGAAAATATCTAAATAGAATAAGTTCCTAGAAATTCTAAAGAAAAAATTAATTTCCCATTAATTTTTTTTCTCGGAGTATTCTCTATATTAAACTTTTTTTTTAACGCCTTATCACCGGAAGGCGAAAAAATTGTTTGATGAATAAAATTGATCGATACGATTTAAATTAGGCAAAATGAATTGAAATTATTCACATTCTGATTTGGTGTTCGGCTAGAGATTCACAATCCCGTCTAAATACTTTCCAATTAAGTCAGAGATTACTATTTACGTCGTGCGCGAGTAATCTTCACCACATCTGTTCGGATTTGTTCCTAAGGATCACCGAATGACGCGAGACGCGAAGGTAAGATGATTAATAGTGAGAAAAACATATCACTTTTACGGGAAAATAAAAGGCTGCGGCTCTGGTATAATTCCACATATGAATCCACTTTTTCTTAATATTGTCTGGCCGTTTGTTTTCAAATTTGTTTAATAATACTGCAGTAAAGCGTTCGAAAAAGTTGAAATAATTTTTCGTAGACGTTCCCGGAATACCCTATCAATGAAAATTTCCGCCACAAATATCATAAGTAGTATATCATAAGATTTTGAAATTTTTTGTACTCCTGCCTCAAAAGTTCACTTTGTAAAGTGGTTGTTTTATGCACACTGTGCGTAAAGTTCAGAGGTCGTGCGTAAAGTGAATTCTCGTGCGTAAAGCTTCGCTCGAAATTCACTTTACGCACGACCTTGAACTTTACGCACACCGTGCACAAAAGCAACCACTTTACCCCCACTACGGTTCCGAACAGTGAACTCGGCAGGTATTACAAAAAATAGGATGTGTTACGCGTGCGTGCGAAAAAGTGGTTCTTTACGCACTTGTAACACAATATACTATTTGTCCGGAAACTCCGGAATGCGTTCCGTGCGTAAAACGAATGTTCAAAAAAACATGCCAACTTTGCGCTAGAATATATATTTATTTTCCGAAAGCTTTATCACAAACAAATGAAGTTGTTAAGGTTGCAAGCGATTTTTTGCGAAGTTCAACAATCGTGCTGAAGTGAATTATCGAAATAAAACGGATGTGGAGGTGTCACATGACCCCCAATACTATACTCTGATTGGCCGAAATCAGGCCTGAAGAAATAATTCTCATAATCAGTTGTTTCTGAGGCAATTCAACAATTCAATCGACGCTTTCATTACCTCTCTCACAATTGCATTTCTGATAAAAATGAATGGAACAGATAACAGATCCATCGGCAATCTAAATGATTTCACGAAAACGGAAAATTTCGTTTATCTAACAGTGTCTGAGATTATTACAAACATCCTAGTTTGACTCGAGGTCCCAATGTTTCAAGTATGGAACATAAATCATCTGCAGAATTCCACTTATCGCCATTCTCATTAATCGCACGGTAATGAAGATTAATCCTGCATTCACAGAACCGATTGACACCGATTCTGGATTAAGATTAAGGCATTTACCTTCATCCAATTGATAACACTGCATTTCATATTTTCCGTGCTGTCGCGAGGTAAATGTTGTATTTTTTTTT